CAAGTGGGCTAGCTAGCTAAATAGCTTTCAGAGCAACAAGCAGCCCATTTTTTAGCTAACACTCAAACTAATCAAAAAAAGCATTGTAATGCAATTATCACAAGAAGTAGTAAACTGGTAAGTAGTGGAATTGGAGCTAGTTTAGAGGAGGAGGAAGGATAATCAGAAAAAGGAAAAGAGATTGAGATAAAGAATGGATTAAATAAAAATGATAAGTAAAGACAATTCATGAGATTCATCAATATATTTAGTAAACTGCAAATTAACTTAACTTTCATGGAGGCCCTTGAACCAATGCCCAAATATACTAGATTCATGAAGGACCTCCTCACAAAAAAAAAGAAGGTTTCAGGATGAAGAAACAACTGAGCTGAAAGCCAGATGTAGTGCAATCATTTAGAAACTTTTACCAAGAAAGTCTAAGGATCCTAGAAGCTTCACTATTCCTATTTCAATTGGAGAGATATATGTTAGTAAAGCCTTGTTGGACTTAGGGGCCAATGTAAATTTAATACCCTTGTCATTTCTCAAAAGGTTTGGAAAGATTGAAGTAAAATCGACAAGAATAACCTTGCAGCTAGTAGCTAAATCTATTAAATATCCTTATGGAGTGGCTGAATATGTGCTTGTAAAGGTAGACAAAAAAAATTTTCCAGTTGATTTTGTAGTGATGGATATGGAAGAGGACACTAAAGTTCCTCTTATTCTAGGCAGACTATTTATGAAGATTAGAGCTCAGGACGAAGATGTTAAATTTGAAGTATTTCCATCCACCCATCAACCTGATACAGACACTCATTACATAAGAGTGGACATAGTGAAGGAGTCATTTCTTGCTTAGAGACCCAACTCCTAAGCTTAGTGCTCAACAAGAATTTCAATCCAATATGGCTGAGCTTAAAATTGGAAATGAGCAGAAAAATCTTGAAAAATCTCTGAAGAGTGAGGATTATTAGACAAAGAATTAGAAAAATCCTTAAGGGTCTAAGAAAACAAGCAAAGTTAATCACGTCAAAACAACTTTGAGGAAGAAATTTAAAGAAGGTCAACCAGCTCTTTTGTTAATTTCTAGGACAAGACCATCCCTGGAAAGTTCAAGACAAAATGGTTTGGGCCCTTCACCATAACAAGAGTCAAATCACAAGGAGTTCTGGAGCTGAAAGACCGAAACACTCAAAGAAGCTGGGAAGTCAATAGGCATAGGCTAAAGCCCATCGTTGATGATTTAGAAAGGAGATCCAATAGCCCCATCAAAATGGACAACACTTAAAGAATGAGGTGTCGAGCTTATCAACGTTAAACAACACAATTTTAATTCCAATTTTCATTTCTTGGTGTTCATAATTTTTGCTTGAACTTAATTGAATTTGTCTAATATGTTTTTAATTAATTTGTCAATTTGCTTTTGGTTTAAGGTTAATATTTGTGTTGTATGCCTTGTGTTCTATGGAAACTTGATTTGGAGATTAATTTAAAGTGAATTACAAAGTATAACTTAGTTACATCTTTTTAAGAGAAAGAGAAAACTCTTGTTTAAATAATTCTGGGAGCTACCCCTGCGCATTTTTTACAAAATGGTTCTCTGGACAAGTCTCGCTCTAGTGAGAATCAACATGCTCAACAAGATACAACTCTCTCGAGCGAGACTTGGTGAATTTTTTAATGGCTCTCTAAACGTTTTCTGCTCAAGCGAGCAAGAAATGAAATTTTTTTTATAAAATCTCTTTTTTATATTCTCGTTGAGACGAGGGTGCACTTGCTCAAGTAAGAATTTTAAAATGAAAAAGGTGTTCTCTAGACAGTTCTCGCTCAAGCCTTGTGTTGTATTTGTTCTGTATGGTGAATGGACCAATATTTTGTTACGCACAATCGAGATTATTATGTTGGACAGTTTGAATATTTAATTGTGATAAGTTGAGATTTAATTTTTTAAATTGAGTAGAGAATATAACATAGTAATTTAGCACAAAAGGAATACACTTAATGGTTAGACTAACATAAAAAGAAACTAGAGTCCAAGAGTTAAAACCCAACAATAATTTCCTAAATTTAACGTGCAAATAGGTGATAGTGTGAGATTAATGATTGGACATAATGTACAATAAATACACTTTAAGATTGTAAGCAAAAAACATATGTATATGCACTTATAACGAGACAAATTAAGGCTGCATTGTGCTGCTAGATATACCCCTAAAACCATAGGGGGAAAAAAGGAGAATAGAGATTTAACAAACATCCTAACCACAAGTAATCATACCTTATTCACTACTTAATCTAATATTGTTCATAGTGTAGCAGTGAGGTGAGTGGTAACATTTTGAACTCAAATGGCTTAGAAAACGCAGACCCCTAAATGAATAACCCGACATGATCCGATTTTAGACTAATAAATTGACAATTAGGAAATGAATAAACAGTCTATCTACACGTAGTATATAACCAGTAAATATTTTCCAACAAATTAGAACTCTTTTAATCTGATACGTAGAGTTAAAGGAATTAATAAAATATGGAACAATGAAATAGGACTTGACTTTGAATAATTTCATGTGTAAACCTATTTTGGTGTACTGGGAGTATTAGTAATTAAAGCCTACGAGAATAAGGTAATGGGATTAATTAGAAACTATGATACTATCATGCATCATACTTATAAAAGAGGAGATGATTTAAGGCTACAGTTGGCACAGCTGTAGGACACTTGTGTTAGGATCAATGATGAGCCTTGGGGTGATAAAGGAGATGACCCAATAGCACAGGGTAGCTCACTGTGATCAGGTCACGTTGCTAGCAAATCCTTGCCAACATTTGGGGTGTTAGGATCAAGTGTTTATTGAGTCATAAAGATATGATTAATTTAGTTTGTTACCTATCATATCATATTAAATTAATGTAATTGCTATCTTGAGAATATGTATATGTTAAGAGAGGAAAGAAATGATAATAATTGTCTTTTCCAAAATACTCTTAAATTATTATATTGTCCTTTTCTCTCTATCCCTTTTTCTCGTATCTCCTTCCTCTCTATTTTTGTATTTTTTAAATATATTAAATTATTTTGATATATTTTAAAATTTTATAAATTTTATAAATATTTTAAATTATTTATATATTTTTTATAAATTAAAAAAATAAATTTTAATCTAGCAAATATAGATAAAAAGGTTATTTTGTTAATTTTTATATATTTATATCATATCTTTCTTTCTATCTGCATCAGATATTGGATATAATTGTATTCTTATTATACAATACTCTTATTCTATCTATCCTAATTCTATCTTGGCCATAAAATGAGCGCTAAATACATATGCAACAAATAAAAAATAATTGTGTAGCCATGCATCATATAAATGTCTAATGTTAGACTAACTAAAAAAACAACTCAATAAAAAATAACTCATTAATTTTAACTTTTGGTTCAGTTGTTGCACGAATAAAATCAAACCTCTGCCTAGAATGACTAAGGATCCAATCAGAACCAAATGGTTCTCTCCCTGTCCTAGCCAGCTGAAACTAAATGTGGATGGTACGATGTCCTATGATGGAGCTGCTTGTGGAGGGATAATTCATGACAGTAATAGGAATTTCATTTCTGGTTTCCACATTAAGCTTAATGGCTACTCTCCTTTTATTGCTGAATGGTTCATCCGGGGGAGAGATCAAGTTTCAAGAAATAGTGAATGGTCTTATAAATACACAAATGGATAACTCCCCAGGAATTTTAATTGCGCTTATATTCATCATTGTAGGAATTGGGTTCAAGCTTTCCCCAGCCCCTTCTCATCAATGGACTCCTGACGCATACGAAGGAGTGCGGTTCGTTCGATAAATTCCTATCTCTCTATCTATTTCTGATACAGCACAACGGTTTGAATCTAAAATAGAAAAAAGGTTTGAATGAAACCGTAAGAATCTGTATGTTGTATGCTTTTTTCCCTAGGATTGTAGTTCAATTGGTCAGAGCACCGCCCTGTCAAGGCGGAAGCTGTGGGTTCGAGCCCCGTCAATCTTGATGGATACAAATCCAATAGCTGTGGGGTTAATTTTAGGGACTCCATCTGATCTCTATGAAGGATATTCAAACTATTTAGGTAGAGAGTGATTCCACAGAAGCATTAGCCTTAGTTCTCCATGTCCAACAACCTTCACATCCTCTATTTGAGTTGATCGCCAACATTAGAAATTTGATAAAAATCCATTAGTTTTATTAGATTTGCCCACATCTTTAAAGAAGCTAATCTTTCTGCTTATAAACTTGCTAAATTAGGTCTTGAGGGCTCTTTAACCCTATCTTGTTTTAATGCTCCTCCTTCGGAGTTGGTCTCCTTTCTTTGCCTTGATACTTGTAAAAGTTGGACTTATAAATCTTTATGTTGTTCTTTTTGGACTTTTAGTCGCATTAATTAGCAAAAAAAAAAAAATTCAATAAAAAATAACTCATATTAACTAAAAAATAACATTAAATGTAAGAAAACTCACTCTCAATATTAAGAAAAACATAATTCTTAAAATATTTTTATTTAAGATTAAAAAATCACATTTAACATATAAAAATAAGTTAGATGCAATATATTTTGATAAGAGTTTGAATTACATTTAGCATCATCCCAATTCATTGAAATCTTATATTAATTTAAAATTATAATTTTTAACAATTATGTTAAAATAATAAGACTTTTAAACTTTTTTCTTTTAAAAATAATAAATCTTTTTTTATAACATAATATTAAATTTTATTTATTTATTTATTTTAGTTTTATATTTTATTTTATGATTCAACTACATATAATATTAAAATGAATATATCATGTAAATAAATTAAGTTAATTTAATCGTATTACATATATTATCAAATCTTCGCCGAGTAAAGATTAAATTTAAATAATTAACTCCATTAAAATATAAAAATAAAAACAAACCCATTTCAATCGGTTTCATAAAAAATACCTAATAATAATTAATTTATTATTATTATTATTATTGGATGGCTTAACCCCAAAGAAAAGAAAGATGCTCTAGAAATACAACATTTCGCGACTTAGCCCCAAAGAACCTGCGTGGTGTGTTGTTGGGATCAAAAGATGTCGATCTTCGAGTACAACGGAAGTGCCCTAGTGGCTATGGTCGGCAAAAACTGCTTCGCCATTGCCAGCGACCGAAGGCTCGGTGTTCAGCTTCAAACCATAGCCACCGATTTCCAACGCATTTCCAAGATTCACCCAAAACTCTTCATCGGTCTCTCTGGTCTCGCCACCGATGCTCAAACACTGTACTCTTTACTCTCCCTTCTCAATTTTCTCTTCTTTTTTCTTCCAATTTTTTAATTATTTTTCTTCCTCTTTCTTTACTTTAAGGTATCAGCGTCTTGTTTTTCGGCACAAATTGTATCAGCTTCGTGAAGAGAGAGATATGAAACCAGAGACCTTTGCCAGCTTAGTCTCTGCTTTGCTGTATGAGAAAAGGTAATGCCGTTTAGATCTCACAAAAAGAAAGCAAGTCTTCTGGATTTTTTCTAGAAGGAAAAATATGTAAAAGTTTTATGTTTTAGGTGTCGTTGAAAATGAGGTTTGATTTGATTAATAAAGTGATATGAATAAAGATTGATTATGGGTTATTATTACTGAGTTTTGAATGAATTGATTACTATTCTTGTGTATAGAGTACATTTTCCTAGTTCTCAGTGTTATGTCTGTTTTCTTATTCATCAGTTGCAATTCTATCTATCTTTAAGTATATTAATTGGTAACAGTTTTACCTTCTTTAATTACTATAAAGAACATCTCAGATCTCGTTTTTGGCTTGCTATTGATAACCTAGTTAGCACCATTATGCTTTGTGAAATGGTTAGATAAAACATTAGTTAGTTACAATCAGTAGCTAGATAGCCTACCTTAGAAAGTGTATGATATTGCATGTTTAAAGGAGAGGAGTGGAAGATCTTCTTGTCAATTGAGAAGGGATTGGACTCTCGGGGTATGTTTGGAAGAGGATTTTTGGAGGGGAAGAGGAGACCATATTTTTTAATTTTAAATTAAGAAAATCATAGTAGTTAATTCCAGATAGAAGCGCGGAGCAACCAACCTCAAAAATGCTATAGTGGGGATAGTGGTAGTGGGATGACCGCTATTCTGAAGTTTTAAATATATTTAATATAAATTAAGTTACACAGGTATGTATGCTGAAAAATATAAAATTAATACACAAATTTGGAATAAAACAGAGCAAGAAATAAATAATAAACAGCAAAAGGAAATAGAAAACAGAGTGTTCAGTCACCGAAAAATATTTGGGTCACGTCAAAAACTTCACCAAAGATGAAGAAGACGACAAGAAAATATTTGTTCACGTTGGAAGCTTTGCCAGAGATGAAGATGACCAGAAACATCTAGGTCATGTCCAAACACGTTGCAAGAGATGAATAAGATGACTAGAGATGAAGATGACAAGAAGTTGGTCAGAAATGGTGACTCTTGATCTTGCACCAGAGAATCAAGAGGAACAAAAAGCATGTCACACCAGAAAAGCAAAAGAAATAGAAAGGAAAGAAATTTTAGAGCTCGATGGGGAGAAGATATGAAAGTAAAGGGGAGGCAAAATCTCAAGATTGTCCTGTTAAAAGTCGCCCAACGTCAAAAAGGGTGGGGTAAAATAGGGTTTTGACTTAGGAAATGAAATAGTGGCCATGATTTGCTTGTTTTTGGCCATGGTTTGTGGCGTGATGGCAGCTACTCTGAAGTGCAATGCGATGATGTCTTGATAGTGGCAACTTGCCACTCCTCCGCAATAACGGCTGCTATTGACTTCTATGAAGAGAATTATATATCATTTATGATGATAAATGTATGATTAATATATTAAGTTTAAGTTAACAATCAATTTATATTTTTTATTTTAAAAAATATTGATTTTAAATATATTTATTTAAAATAAAAAATCTGTCTTTCCCTCCAAAACTTTCCTTTCCGAACAACCCTCAGTGGGTAAAGGATGGGGTTTCTCAAATACCCTCACTCCCCTGGTACCACTGTAATTCATCTGACTTTATTACTAGAGAATATGTGTAGATCATAATTTTTCTTCCATCTATTTTCTTCTGTCCTCATCATGTTCTATCAGAAATGGAGAAGTGCTGCTAGATTTTGTTGTATGACTTACATGAGTAGAGTATATTCATTACTATTGAATTGACGTTAGCCTTTGCTTAGACCTGATAGTCTCTAAGTGAAATTTGAGTTGTATATGTTGTGCGTGTACTGATTAATTACTTCGAAAGAATGATTTTGATAAAAGGCTACGAATAAGATTTTCATATTAATACTTGAATAATATTTATTGTCAAGCATGGTTTTGGACTGGTTGTGTATTCTTGATGCAAGAAGTTGGTTGTAGAATGACTAATATGCTGATATACCTACCAAATTGAGTTGGTGGAGGGCTGGGCTACTAGGCAACATAGATAAAGTTGCTATTGATGGATATCTTCCTAAAACTAAAAGTTACCTAAAATTTTCTATTAGAACACTGAATTAGCTCCTATTTTACCTAATTTTTTGTATATGATTATTTACAAGAAAGAGGGAATACACTTTAGTGGTATCGAAATAAATCATGTTGCTGACTTTGCATAATAACAAAGATTGTATATTTCCTCAGATTTTATTATGAACAAACAAATTATTTTGACAAAATTACTACCCAAAATTATTTAGATACCAAAGAGGCAGAAGATTTTTAACATAGCACTGAAGATGAGATGTGACGTAGTGCAATTAGGATGAGTTACCATTTAGTAGGAACAAACAAGGAAGGAATTATGAGTACACCTGTACTTATGTGCTATGAGTCTATGACTATTTGTTTATTAGATTCTATATAAGTTGATAGGGAGACTTTTATGACTTACGATTTTGTTGTTCTCTCTCTGAGAGGGGGAGAGAGAGAGAGAGATTTTTAATTATGCCTCTAAATGGTAAGATGTGATATCATGTACAACTAACAATTCAAAACAAGCTTAGCAATTCATGATTTGAATGTTGACCAATAGTTTGTTGTGGGTTTGAACTATGTTAAATTTTTGTTTTTTCTATTTTTGGCTTCCTTTTACTTGTTTGCAGACCTGGTTATAGCAAGTCACAGTGAACTATAAGATTTAAATTTTTCTGTTTCTATTAATAAAATCTATATTTTGGAACATTTAAAACAAAGTATGCTTTCTTTTACTTTTCAGGTTTGGTCCATACTTTTGCCAGCCCGTAATTGCTGGATTAGGGGATGAAGACAAACCATTCATATGCACAATGGATGCTATTGGAGCAAAGTAAGTTGAATGATTCTACAGTCCATATTTTCTTGTACAGGTTGGTATGTATAAAAACTTGTAAATGTTAGTAATGTGTAGTTATAAATGTATAATTCAATTTTAGTAATATGCATGAACAATACACATTTCAACTGAGCAATGGGTTACATCTTTTTATGTATTTGGCTGAAGTTCTGACCGTGAGTCCATATCTGAACAATATTGCGGACCTTAATTAATTCCAGCTAGTCCAGCCACTTGGAAATCAGACATGTAGAATTTTAGAAATGTTTTTTTCTTCTAAGTTTCAATAGTATAAGAATTGGTGGCTTTCTATCTTGTGATAGAAAACATGTAAAAAATTAACTGAGTAATTAATAAAAAAATAAAAGCAAGTTGATGCTGACAAAACAATAACATGTTTTAAAACAAAAATTGATGGAAATGGATGGACAAAATTTGTCAGACTAGAAGCTAAAAAATTGTATACTGATGAATATGTTATGTGTTGCTGCATTTTTGTTTGAACATAAATTCTCAAATTTTTAAGTAGGTTTCTTTGGCATTACACTTCATTTGGAATGAGATTAGGTGTTTTGCTTCTATTTGCTGTAAAGAACATTGCCCTTTCTAACAGATTTCACTAGCAGATATTAAATTGGCTGATTTGCTCGATTTTTATTCTTTTATCTACTTTATTCTTTTGCTCAAAAGGATTCCCCGTCTTCCATCAATCTTTCTCTCTCATACCCATGTCTTTTGTATCTTCTAATATGAAAATGTTTTCAATTATATATCGTTCAAATGTTGCCTTTATGCAAGTTTATTATGTTAGAGTTGTGTAGTCCGATTAGTCACACGCCTGTTATTTTTAAAGGGCTTTTCCTATACTATTACTATGGTTATGTTTGACTCTTATAGATCTGTTTGATAAATAAAAATTGATAGAAGCTTGTTAACTTTTGAAAGCTAGCTTTTCAAAAGTTATCTAAAGAAGCATTTAACTTTCAAAAACTAGCTACTAATATTTTTATTACATTTTTACCTTTCATCTTTTTAAAATACTACTTACCCATCACACAATTAAATGTTATGTACATACGTTAATTTCATTGCCTTTTTGTTCTTTTCACCTCATGATAGTCCCATTCTTTTTCTTTAAATGCATTTTATATTAAAAAAAAGATATGGTTTATAATATTTTATGTTCAAACATATATGAAGAAGAATTTTGTTTTTATATTTAATTAATTGATTGATATTAAATAAATAAAATAAGTGACATCTAATTTTAATATCATATTAATACAATATTACATATTGTTTTAAGTCATTTAACACATCAGTTAGTTGCACAACTAGTTTACTAAACAATTTTAAGTTTATAAGCTACTTATATAGCTATAAGATTTCAGCTACAAGTCCACAACTTTCAGTTAGTTTTATCGCTAAAAACTCACAGCTTTTAGGACATTTTACCAAACATAACCTCTATTTGTTCAACGACTTGTAAATTGTTTGTGTCACTAAAAGTTATTTTACTCGTATAGTTGTGAACATAGGTGCGTACATTATGTGTTGAACTACATTACATATTTGTTTCATTCCTCTCTCTTTTATCTCTATTTTTTACTCTCAACAATTGTTATAAAAAGCTGTTAATTCTTTTACGGGGTCCTCAAGTTAGAGGTAGTGGGGGGGGTCCTTGGTTTAGAGAAAATAGTAGAAGTGATGCCATTAGAAGAGGGAAAGTCAAAAATTGAGAAGTTTGATATAGACTTCAGATTTTGGAAGATGCATATAGGGGATTATCTGTGCCAAAGAGAAGTATCAACTCTTAACACGAGAATTAGACAACATGAAACAAAAATATTGGAAATTTTTAGATCAACAGGCTCTTTGTGTAATCAAATTAGCATTGTCCAAAAATATTGCATTCAACATAGTGAACAAGAAGATTACTATAGAATTAATGAAGGTGTGAATTGTGATCAAATAAGTATGTGCGGTCATTGACAGCCAATAAAATACATCTGATGCACTAGTTGTTCAATTCAAGATGATTTAAGAGAATTACTATCTAACTATATCTTTCGAAAGTTTGGGAAGGTTTACTCTACAGTGACAAATCTCTTGATATAGTGGGAAAGGGTGATATTGATATCAAAACTCTAATGGAATCTTATGGACATTGGATAATGTCAGACAATATTTTTTAAGAGAATTACTATCTAACTATTTTTCGAAAGTTTGGGAAGGTTTACTTTACAATGACAAATCTCTTGATATAGTGGGAAAGGGTGATATTGATATAAAAACTCTAATGGAATCTTATGGACATTGGATAATGTTAGACACATTTCGGTCCTAAAGAAAATTTTATTATCTATGCTAGTTGGATGATAAGGAGTGTCACACCACTTTTGGAAATGGAACTTGGAAGGTAACAAAAGACTATATGATAGGAGGTTGTGGGAAGAAGTGAAAGTCTCTTCATATGGTTGTCATAGTTGTTAATCTTGGATCACAGTGCATAGCAAATGACCGTCAAAACACTATAGCAGGATAGTGCATAGCAGGATTACTGCCATTTTAAAGTTTTTTATATGGATATAAAATATATAAATATGCAGATAATTATGTATATAATGCTAAAAAAAAATATGCATAAAAAGCATATGAATAATTATCAACAAAAGACATAAAGAGAAGAAAGAAAGTGGATTTTCCAGGAAAACATAACAGAGGCAGGACTGTAGAATCATAGAATAGAGAGAAGTGGATTTGCCAAAGAAGTCATCCAAGATGAGTGACTCTGCTGGATTGGAGATTTTTGCAAAGCTGAATAGAGACAGAGATGAGAGGAGGGAGTGTCAAACAGATAAGGGGAGAAGAAAAATAGTGTAGAAAAAGTGGGGTTTCGTCATGTGTCTCCAGTTGCAAAGCAGAACAGCAATAGAGATGAGAGGAAGTGGTGTTGAAGAGAGCAAGGAAGAAGAAAAAATGCAAGAAAAAGTGAGGTTAGGTCTGAAAACTGAGAAGACTATTTTGCCCTTAAAAAAACCTAAAGACTGTGTCATCATAAGGGCAAAAAAGAAAAATCAGCTTATTTCTAAAAGATTAGAAGTTTTTTTACCCTTAAAAAAAACTCTAAAATTCCTTTGTTTTGAGGGTAGAAAAGAATAGTTAATATCTTTCCCCTGTGGTGGCGCTATTGCGCTGCAAAAAGCCGCATTTTGTGCTGCGAATACATCCGCGATGGTTGCAATAGCTGCAACAGAAAAAACGCTCCACTATGCCAGATCTATAGCAGCCAAAGGCTGCTCCGCCACACACCACCGCTATGGCACGCTATTGACAACTATTATCGTTGTAGAGAAAGATATAGTATTAGTAATTGAGGCTACTAATAGTTCATCTCTATGGTGTCAAAAGGATAAGATGTCAAATTTGAAGCTTGGCAATATTTCTGTTTGTGTTGGGTATGACTGCCCTAATGGCAAATGAGGGCAGTTGCGTTAGGCCTCCAGTTGTCTCTAATTTTTTATTAAAAATTATTATATTATAATATTTTTTTCATTAATACATTAAGATTATATAATTTAAAATTTATTTATTTAAAATGTATTTAAGGATATATAATAAAAATTTAATTAAAAAATTTATCAAAAAATATCATATTTAAGATGAGTTTGGATAATTGCTTATTTAAGTATTTATTCAACAAGCTCTTTTTAAAATGATGAGTTATGTCTTAAATTTAATGATGAAACTTTTTGAGATAAGCTAGAAACAACTTATTTTGATAAGCTATACTAAACAACTTATTAGAATAAGTTGAAAACAATTACTGAGAGTTATAAGTTGTTTTTTATAAGTTATTCACAAGTCTTTCCAAATAGACCACTAATATTATCAATACATTATATATGTGGCTTTTAATAAAAATTTATTACATATAATTATCTTATTATGTGTCTTTGAATACAACTTAGAAAACTTATTTTTATATATGTCTCTGTTAATTATTTAAGAGGTTTAATTACTCATTTAAACGTATATCAGAAAAATGATTTAGTTTTTTTTTATAATAGCAATCATTATAAGTCTTTTCTATTAAAGTCAAAATTTCATTATTTCTTAATTATAAAACTATGCTTAATAATTTTATAGTTAAAAAAATAATATAAAAATTGATAATTTATATCACATTAATTTCTTCTAATAACTATGTCTAAGCCTAAAATATTCTAAACATGTCCACGTGTCTGTGAACACTGTAAATTTGTAAAGTAGAAAAGATTTCAAAGTCAGGAAAGACATCAAAGTTAGAAAGACTGACGGAATTGGTGTATTTTGACATTTGAGAACTAGCTCCAATAAAATTCTTCGAAGGTTCACTATATTATATCACCTTCATTGATGATTCCATAAGAAAGTATGAGTTAATTTTCTTAAAAATAAATCTGTTATATTGTATGTTTAAAAGGTGGAAAGCAAAAGTTGAAAACTAAACAAATTTAGATAACGGTTAAAAGTCTGAAATTTGGTAATGGCAAGAGTATGATGGCCAAGAGTTGAAGGACTTGTTTAGAAAATGGGATTGAAATACTCAAAGACAATACCAAGAACACCTAAGCAAGATGATGAACAGAACTTTTTGAATGAAAGGGCTAAACGTATGCCAATCCAATTTGCTTGCCTAAAATACTTTGGACAAATACGATTAACACAACAACTAATTTTATAAAGATGAGGCCATTTGTCCCTTCAGATATCATCAATCGTCTGAAGAATTATGATTTAGAAAGGAGGTAAACATATCACATTTGAGAGCCTTATACTATATTTATAAATTAGACCTCAAGACTATAAAATATTTTTTTATTTGTTATGAGTCTAACATGTATGGCTATTGATTTTGGGATGACCAAATTAAGAAAATTATTCAAAACAGATGTCATTTTTAATGAAAATTATGTTACATAAAGATAGGTTTTCTACAAAAATTTATGAGTTCCAATAAATGATTAGAAATTTCTAAGAAAGTAAACATTAAAAGAAATTTCAGAAAGTGATGTAGCCAACAAATGTCAGGATAACCTAGAGAATAAGGATATAGAGGTAAAAGTTGAGTCAAATTTAGAGCCAACAATAATGACAAAAACACTCTACTAGGGTTATTAAGACATTACAAAGGTATTTTCTTTTCTTGCATTATTTGTTGTTAAGGATACTAGAAAAATAGAATATTTTGGTGAGGCTATGCAAGGGAATGACTTTATTAAGTGAGGACTAGCAATGAAAAAACAAAGGAACATGGTCTCTAACAAGTTGTCAGAAGGAAAGGAAGCTCTATAAAATAGATGAGTCTATGAATTAAAGATGGTATTAAAAGGTACGAGGTAAAACTTATAGTAGAAGTGCTTTAGTAGAAACATGAAATTAACTTCACTCAGATTTTTTTCTCCTATTATCTAGACGCTGGAGTTATCTTGAGTATTCTAGTTACTGATAATTTTTACTTGAAGGCATTGTACAAGGTGAAGAATAGAGGAGTTTGTTGTTTAGAAAAAAAGAATTTTTGCAATTGAAAATCTGGCTTCAAGTGGAATAATTATTAAAGTTGTGTTGTCTGATTAGTCTCACATCCATTATTCTTAAAGGCCTTTCCTTTTACTATTATTATGCAATAAATTCTAGTACCGTTTCTTTCTCTTTTTCTCCCAACATATTCTTCCCTTAAATTAAATAATTTCTAAGTTATATAATTTCTTTCCCCTAATGGGATAAGGTTTGTTTGTTTTTGTAAGTTATATAATTTCATACGATGTGTATGCATGTAATTCTTTACAATTTTCTTGTATGCAGGGAGCTTGCAAAAGATTTTGTTGTTGCTGGCACTGCATCTGAGTCTCTATATGGTGCTTGTGAGTCGATGTTTAAGCCTGACATGGTATGTCACAAAGATTAATTCGTTGTCTTTTATGCAACACTTCTGTGATTTTGCAAATTTGTGTAGTCATGTCTATTTTCTGCTTGTTTTGGCTGTCTTAATAAACAATAAACATCTTTAAAATCTAAATGGAGATGTCCACAAACTACTGTACTTCGACATGGATAATTCTTGTTTTAGACCCAAAACATCATTCATGTATTGCACTGTTGGAGACACTATATTGCACCATACTTATAGAGTAAGCATCACTGTGAAATATAGATGAATAATGAAATCATCAAAGGTTTTAAATCTCAATATGACTAATCATTGTGCAAGTGAATTCACATTAATGGTTTCTTTGGGAGGAGAGGAAGTTTGTATAAATACATCATAAAATTCTATATCATGTGCTGAAATATACACGGTTAATTCAAGTAGTTATTATGTTACGAAAAATGCAGCATTGGTGCAATGTCTAATAACTATGGGGACAAAAATGCTAGAGCCTGAGATTCAAATTTAAAAGGCGATTAATAGTACCTCAATTTTGCAGTTTGGTTTCAGCATAAAAAATTTCCACATTATCATACCTGTGATTTAACTTGATAGTTTTTTCACCATAGGGTCCCAATGTTCATTAAAGAGATGCAGCTTATCTTTTTTTGCTTGATTTTCTGATCTTAACACAGGAACCAGAGGAATTGTTTGAGACCATCTCCCAAGCATTGCTATCATCCGTAGATCGTGACTGTTTAAGTGGCTGGGGAGGGCATGTCTATGTTGTGTAAGATCACAAATTCTATTTCTCATAGTAGTTTGGTCTTAAGATTTTTATATACAGTTGTCAATTTCTGAGCTAAGTCGCTTAGTTTTTATGCACTTGTCCTCTGTGCAAGCCACAGGTAAAATGTTGTGACTTTTGTATCTACAAAAAATAACATTTACAAAAAAGTATGATGAAAATAATTCTGACATGGGGAAGTGCCACTGGGCTCCAAGGCTATGGTCAGCAGTGGTGGCATCTAATGGTTACCATTTCATTTTTATGCTTCATCTGATTGCTACAAACACTTTAAAAGAGAAACTATGTTTTTCAAAATGTTTGTTTTTCTTCCTCTATTTATTTATTTATTTATTTTTACTTTTTAATGATTTTTCTTATTTGAAATTTAGGACAGTTAAGTTTGATTCTCTGCCTATTCATAATGTATTTTGGTAGGGGCTTATTGGTATTTTAATTTGTCTTCTGCAGCACACCAACTGAAGTAAAGGAAAGGATTTTGAAGGGAAGGATGGATTAACTTTTAGGCCACCTTGTCACCTACTTCGTATCACTTTGTTTTCTGTTTAGTTTGTAGCTGAATAGCATTCTACTTACCGTCCATTGTTAATGGTTATCTTGTTATTGTGGCTCTTCAGTTAAACGTACCCTGAAAATTATTTACAAACTGGTTCACTTGTTCTATACTATTTAGATTATTGGATAAAGGAAATTCTAGAGTCGGGCATGTTGTGAATTAAATTCTAGTATCGAAACCCAGAACTAACGAAGTACAGCAAAAGATTGCTGTTGCTGTCGAGAGTACGTGACTCCTTATTCACAAATTATCAATATAATTTTATTATTTTATAATTTTATATAAGTAAATTTATAATTTTAGTATGCTTACAGGACATGTTATTAGGAAGAAAAAATTCATAATAAATCTTCATGCTTATAAAATTATTTTATATCTTTCTTCTTCAAGTTTCTTGATACTTAGATGAATAAGTCTATTTTAGCCTAATTAAAATAAGCTAAAGTTTCCAATGATCTAAGACCTAAGTAAATAAATACCTCATTTCAATTGGACCTAAAAATCTTCAACCTCGTTCAATTCTAATTTTAGTAAGAAAAAACATGCAGGTCCGAACTCAGGTTGATTTTGCTATAAAAAGCCTCTTAGAACTAATTGTCTCCATTGTATGTCTTAATTAAAATACATTTCTTGTACATTTTAAAATGTTCCAAAACAAATTAAACTATTGGACCAATTAAATCATGAATTAGTTGTACTTAATGTTCAAATATAATTTAATTTAGCTTCGGTTCAACCACAAAATTAACTAGTTGAACTAATCAAATTATAATATAAAGCTTTGTTGTTTAATTTTTAGTTTGGTTTATAAAGGATCGATTTAATAACTTCAGTTGGCACTTAGCTAAGATTGTGATGTCTAAGATTCGAGTTTTTTTTTTACTTTTTTGGTCCTGTTACTTGAATTTCTACTTTGTTATGTGCATGTTAGCGGAATTTTAGCTCTTTTACGGGTGACATACAATTAAGGAAAATTTTGCCGAGCAGTTTAATTTCAATTTTGTTATTCTTCTCAGTTAATGGGTAGGTTTTTCTTTTGTTGGTAGAGTTATTGGGTAGGTATGATGTTGGCAGAGGCATGCTTCTCTTTTCAAAATTTATTTTTCAAGATTTTACTTTTCGCTTCATTTTCATGCATTTTTTTCCCCTAGATTACAGGTATTTTTCACGAGAAACAATTTCGAGCTGAGTAGGACCAGATGCGTCTTTGCAGCTTTAAAAGCAGATTTTTTTGTTTTCTTTTTTTTTCTTTTACTTGCTCCTAATGCGAATTGAAACACGTACTTTTGCATGGGTGCTCTTCTAGTTGTTCGTAAAATTGAGTGGCCAGCTCTGGAGCATTCTTGCACGTTCATATTTGTTAAACTACAAAGGTAGATTAAAGTTTTAGTTCTCTACTAAGACTCCCTTTCTTAGCAGTTATATTTGTAATTTTACATTTTCTTTTTCTTAATTTAAAATAAGAAAAAAATACTATACATGCAAAGTGTCTAAACTTTAATTAAAATAATGCATACTTTAAAAGTATTGAATTTTTTTTCCAAAATGAGGATGACAAAGGTCGAAAAGGCATATGTCGAAAATGCAAGATTAGGGAGGAAAAAAGTTAGATAAAAACATATGAAGAGGACTTATAAAATTGAGTCTGAAACCCTTTTTACCCCTTCTAAAGCAATTTTGTTTCTTGGATAACGATAGGAATCGTGATCACACGTGTTCCTGATAATTTTTTTATTTGATATATTCTAGCTAAAGAAATTGATAAATATGACTACGATGATAATTTAATATACAATGAAGGGTGCACAACTCGAGGCAACAACAAGCTGAAGCAGCAGCAATTACTAGCTGGTATCTTCAATTTTGGAATAAGGTATATTGCAACTTAAGGATAATGTTTTGCTATTGCTTTGCACGTAAGCTACCTTATCCAAAGTTTATGTGTATTATAGGTGATGACAAACCATAGGAATAGCCAAGAATCTAGAATATTGAGAACCCATGAAAACGGTTTTCTATTACTTAACATGGAAGTTTTGTTCAACCTCAAAGAAATATCTAAACATATGCTTTCATTCATCTCCTCATATACCACAATCACATTGTTATTCTGTTCACAACCCATCAATCAATTTGTTGTGTAATCAACATCCTTTTGTTCTTTTGTGTAATCAATGGAAGGTGAAGAAGGCAAAAAATCTCCCCAAAAGACCCCATCACACAGTCAACTTGAGCAAGTTGACTCTGATTTTGTTCTAGCATTTGGCTTGCAAGAGCAAGATGGGACATTCACAACTTTTGCAACATTTGAAAGTGATAGTGAGAGTGAATCCTCTTTTGGCAATGATGATGATGATGGCGGTGATGATGCTGATTTTTTCCTGAGCCAAGAGTTTGAAACCGACCTTCGGTTTCTTGAGAGTGAAGGAAGCAATGATGATGATTATGATGATGATGAAGGAATGGAAGGAGATGTTATTGATGTGGATGAGTTGACTTATGAAGAGTTGATTGAGTTGGGTGATTTTATAGGAAAAGAGAAGAGAGGGTTATCACCTAATGAAATTTCTTCATGCTTGCAATCTTGCACTTTCAATGCTGCTGAAAACAAAAGTGGAATTGATCTTTGTGTGATTTGTCAGGTTGAATATGAAGAAGGTCAGGCCTTGGTGGCAATTCAATGTGAACACCCTTATCATACAGATTGCATAAGCAAGTGGCTTCAAATTAAGAAGGTTTGCCCAATATGTAGCAGTGAAATTTCAGTTCCCAAAAGGGTTAATTAAGAATACTTGTCTTTTAGATAGCATTGTAAAATTTGTGTCATTAATTTGTGCAAATTTAATCAATTTGAATGAATGAAAATAGTTGAGAAAATAAAAGCAGAACTTAAGGTTTGTAACATATACAAGTCACAGAAGATTGATGTTTCAAGATAAACTGAAAGTCAAATTCTACTTTGTTATCAATTCCTTGTATCTTTTAATCTATTCATTCGTGAATTTCCTCATAGATATGAAGAAATTATTGTGCATGATCTATTTGGTTAGATTTTAGTAAAATTTATTTTCAAATAGTTGAGGTTAAGATAATTAATTTATACAGTATTTGTTACTGTATTCTTAAACTTGAAAAAAAAATTATATATTCTTTTTAAATCAAAAATTGTTATTCTTTTAATATTTTAGAAATTAAATGATGTTTATATTTTTTTTAAATAACCTATTAATTTCATTATTAATATAAAATTAACAGTCATAATTATTTTACGTGTAAAAAAATATAGAATGTCTTCTTATTTTACATAACAAAATAGAATTTACCAAAATAATGTTTTGAAATTGACTTAAGAAAAATTATTTTTGCTTGAATAGTAATGCTTGGGGCATATTTTGTGGTTTGGAACCACAAAAATTTAAATCAAACACACCGACACTGGTTCTCTTTTGAAGTATAAATAAATAAATTTTATGATTTACGTATATGAAACCAATATTTGTTAACGAAAATATTAAAATTATTTTCTTTATTTTTTTAAAACATAAAATTTTCACATTCTTAAAAATTAATTCTGTTCATCACAGAGAAAATTTAAAAATTAAACAATCATCCCAACATAATACGATATTAACTCTTTTTTTCTGTACCAAACGTGATTTGGAGCTGATCCAAACAGACTACACTTATGTTTTGTATCTGATCCCACTTCATAAAATGCTCATGATTCAAAAGGAAAGTACTCTTCAATTTCTTGTCACATTTTCTTTTTCTCTCTTTTATAAATTATTGCTGACAGTAACATAAAAAAAAAAAAATTTACGTGTCACAAATTTAATTAATGTTTTCAAGAAAAAAATTACAGTCAGCTTTGCATTGACATACAACAAATTGATTTGCATGGCTTTAATTATTATTATTCTCGCAAAATTAACTCTTACCATTTTAAAACGCAAAATCAATTAGATACTAAGTTTTTATTAAAAGGAAAACAGAAAAATTAATTATTTTTTTGTTAAAGTTCCCATTTTTTTTTTGTAAAGACAAAAATTAATGTATTAATAATATTAAAAGCTAGAATTTTAAATAAAATATACAATTTATTAATTTATTATTATGTGCTCTTCAGTACAGATTAAAAATTTATTTTATAATATTTGACGACTACTGCTTATCATTTTGAAAAACATCATTTACAATCTCTTTGGCTAGTTAATATTTTTAAATATTATTTTATGAAAAAATACTTGTAAATATTGATAGTTAAGTAAATCTAAACATTTATAACGATTTCATTAATTTTTAAGAACTTCTTTTAAAAAAATTATTTTTTAAAAAAAATAGCTCTATCACACGTAAAAGTAAAAAATGAAACAAAACTTCCTATTGATATTTTAAAAAGTTTTGAAACAAGAAATAAAAAAAAAATTAAAACATGTCATATGACACTGTTGGTAAAAGAATTTTAATATTATATATGCAGACAAAACATGGATCATGTTATGTGAAAGCTTCAATTAAAAAAATAAAAGATGACGTGTAAAAATTATAAAAGGAGGGGAATCATGAACATACATCACTATACAAAAGCAAATCAAGTGGATTAAAAAAAACACATTACTGACAGAACAGTTAAAGAATCATAATAAAGATTAAACTAAAGAAATTTCAGATGTAAAATATGCAAACTGATTTGCTGGTTTGGTCTTCTTGATAAGGGATTCAAATTGATGATCTACATATATTATAAACATGCATTATTTCTTTATAATAAAAAGGGTCAAGATATATAGCTTCCCTGAAGGCACATGCGGATGCAGCATGGTAGATTCTCATGGATCCATTGAAACAGACCTATGCTATAAAATTAAAAAAAAACAAAAGGGTCATCTTACTGTGGATTCTCACAATTCTGACTCTTTGCATGTGTCATTTTCTTCACAACCATCCAAATTCAATCAATTCATCCTACCCCTAATGTCTTTATAATATTAACCATGGATCAGACACAACAACCTCTGTATCTGTTTACAGAAGTCATGTACTCTCATGAATTGTCTGTCTGCTACATTTGCATTTTGTAGGGTCCACTCATTACCTCACCAAATAATGCCCTATTTTAGATCCACTTCCACTAATAACTATGAATTATTTCCTTATTAATTCCTAGATTTATCCTGTTAACTCTCTTTAGTGAAGCATTTACATATAGTAATTAATCAGTGTTGTAGTGACTAATAAGCTTTTTTTTCATGGTAATTAATATTCTATGCAAAGATATTTATGGTAAATGGCAAAATTTCTGCATACTTTATGGATATTTTTAAATTTAAATAAAATATAAAAATTATTGAATAACGATAAAATTATGTATTTTAATAAGATATAATATAACATTATCAAAATTTAATAAATACAAAAATATATAATTTAAATTGAGACTTATCATTTTTATAAAAATTCAATTTATAAAAGTTAACTTTCCAATTAGACTTGACAACAAATTTTATAAAAAACTAACATGATAACTATTTTAATTTGAGAAATTAATTTAGTAACCCAAAATAATTAAAAATTAAAGTGACAACACTTTTAACTTAGTTAGACAAAAGTAAAAGTTCTCTTTAAAATATATAAATAGTCAGATATCTCACTCACATATACAAAAATTAATGTAAAATAAAAATATAATAATTAATTTAAAAACATATAGCAATTAAGTCATAATAATTTACATATGTAGTAAAAACACAAAGATCACACACACATGTATAGAGTCGATAAAATGACTGTATTCAATAGGTTGTTTTAAAAATACTCCCAAAATATTAAGGTTTGGACACTAAAAATGAACGTCTAGACACCCTGGATTGTTCGCAATCTGCATTACTCTCTCTTTCTTTCTTTTTTAAGTGAATATATTTTTTTAAATAATATTTATTTTAAATTAAAATTATTATTTATAAACTATTAATTTTTTATATTAACACTTATTAACAAAAATAATATTTAATTCTATGATATGGTAATGAGGATGATGATGAGGAGAATGAAGTTATTATAATTAAAAATACAAAGTTTTTCAAGAAATATATATTAACATTAATAATTAATTGATAATTTTTTTTTTGTTTTAGATACTTACTATTTTAAATTTTAATATATTTAAAAAATATTATAAATGTAATGCTTTATCTTTAATATATATTAAAATAAGTTATTTTAAAAAATTGTTGTAAAGTAGAGAATCTGCATGTCTTCTTATAACTTTCAAATTTATATAAACTATGATTTTAAAAGTCTAAATTATTTTAGCCTAAGTTGTATTAGCCCATTACATGGCAACACATTTGGTAAGTAATATTAATTAGCATAGCATAGGGTATGGTAAATTATATTCAATACTTGGACCTAATATAAATTAGCATCTACTTTTAGCAATTGAAAATAAAATAAAAAGGCAATTTAATTTGTAACCAAGTACTAGTCTTCTTTTATGTCAGAAAAACTGTTCCAATTACCGACAGTATCTTATGATGGTGGAATGAAACTGTGACTCAAAAGTGATGCAGATCGCATAGGATAAGAGACATGCAGAGCTGCGTTTGAACCCACACATGCTTCTGTGTACATTTGAGGTATAATAGCTTCTGTGACTATTCCATGCTACAATCCACCGTTACGTGCTTCCTTTCATTTCCATTTCCAAATGAGCTTTAATGTCTTTGAGCGCAAGTTTGCAAATATTTAATAGTTTCTGCAAATGAATGAGTTGTCTTGTGCTTATACCTAACTAACTATTTTAAATTTTATATTTAGACTTAGATAATGATTTTTTGTTTTTTTAATTTAATGGATGTCTACGCCAATATATATATATATATATATATATATATATATATATATATATATATTGTGTGTAAATGATTTTAGAAATTAACTCTCTTTCTCATCATATTTTTAAATTAAAAATTTTATATTTTAAAATTATTTATTATTTAACTTATTTGATACTATGTGAGCTACCCTATTTAACCTATTTTAAATTTGTTTTAAATTAATAATTTTATATTTTAAATTAATTCTCTTCTGCAAATATTGTTTTATGTAAAAATACCATTCTTTGAAGATCACTGAAACATCATCTGAGCTACCCTATTTAACTTCTTTCACTATTCTATAACAAGAGTTCGGACCTCCCATAGCAATTTGGTGCTCACCTATTTTTATTAAAGCTTTTATAGTAAAATATTAATGATGTATTTAAAAAAATTATAAAATTTTATAGAAACAGTTTGTGATTTTTATCTTATTTTTACTTTATTTTAATAGTTTTCGTGTAGCTTATTAAAATATTTTTTTAGTTATGTTAATAAGCTTTATGATTAAATGTATAATATAAACTCTTATGAAAAAAATTTATTGAATAAATATTTAATTAGTTATTACCCAAACACATCTTAAATTATATGGTCTATTGATAAATCATACTTAAATGGTATTGTTGAATTAAAAATAATAATTATTAAAAATACACTTTTTAACATATTTTTAATTATTAATTAAAAATGTTGAAAATCATAGAAGTGTGATAAAAAAATTATTACATCAAGAGCATTAACTATTCAATTAAAAGTAAACGTATATAATTTTTTATATTTATAATAAATTTTAATTAATAATTAAAATTATATTAACATTCTTACTAAAAAATAATTATAATATTTATTGTTTTTAATTCATAAAATTTATCAAATTTAAAAGTAGTCATATAATTCTTTTAATTAAT